GTTATATGGATAAAACGCAAGTGAAATTATTCCCTAATTTCACGAGTATACCATTTGATTACCTATTAATATCATGGTGACGAGTTACGTTAGCAATCTTGGANAAGTGTTCGTTTACATGCATTTGCGGGATTTTTTCGCCCTTAAACCCTTCCACGACTACAGTTTATGCTCGGTCTGCATTTTACCCCAGCCTGCGTTTTACTCTCAGTCTGCAGTCTGCATTTTACACACAGTCTGCATTTTACCCCTGGTCCGCAGTCTGCAGTCCGCAGTCTGCGTCTTACACTGACCGGTAATCAAATGGTGACGAGTGAAATTAGGGAATAATTTCACGCGCGTTTTGTCCAAATCGTTATATGGATAAAACGCAAGTGAAATTATTCCCTAATTTCACGAGTATACCATTTGATTACCTATTAATATCATGGTGACGAGTTACGTTAGCAATCTTGGATTTTTGAAATGCTTATCCTGGATCATATCGATCGAGAACTCTACTCTCTCGAACGTTTAGAGCTTAAATTTGGCCCAAGTTCAGAATTTTTCGACAAAATTACCCGTTAGAATCCTTCTTGATGTGCTCTTTCGTGCGTTCAGGTTTTCTAAAGCGTCTTTTTATGCCCTGGCATCTTCATGACATTTTTAAACCTTGTCGCCATGTTGACACTGAGACGTATGGAAGGTTGCCATGGCAATTTTGTAATTGCACAAGTGAAATTACAAATTATCGCTGAAATTTCGTGCCAAAATTAAGGAGTTTAAATTCGTCACCTATGATATTAAAACACTAAATACTAGAGTACTAAGGAATTAATTAGTTGGAATATCAAGGCATGATTGGAGGTTTTTCATATTATCTGTGGATTCAAGTGGCCAGCGTCATTAATGGCGTGACTGGAAGAACCAGATGATAAATTGACCGGAAATAAACAAAATAAAGACAAAAAAACGGAACTCTCTCCTCCGATCGGTCCACTGCGTTAACGGTTTGTTTTCCTTTCGTCTCGCCGCGGCCTTTTTGTGACACAAAGACAGGTTTTGGTACAGCTTCTCCTAATTATAAAGTTAACGTTCGCACTGCCAGATTTTAGTTAAAATCAAGTAGATTAGCCACGCTAACAAAAGACACCTCAGACATTTTAGCCCACCTTGAAGGTGTATTTAAAGCCTCTATAAATTCTGCAATACTGATACTAGGTTTCTAAGCAAAACAGGAAAAGAGAAATAGTGAACGGTAAACTTTACGTTCAATATGCGTAGCTAGTGACGTTTGCCAACAACGCAAACGAGGTAAACCCTTCGCCATGATGTTTGAAACCAGCTAAAACTAGAGGTATTTATCAGCATCATGCTGTGGATGTCAGGGAGAACAGGAAAAAAATATAACAAAACTCAGAACTTTTGCCCAATTTCCGAAAACGTACTCAGTTTAATTATCGTTTTCGACTTGTTCGTGGCCGGATACAAAAATATAATGAGTTGCCAAAATTAATCAAAAGGCCATATTTACACTTCATTTCATGTTATTTATAATTCATTACATAGGAGGCTGAAAATTTCATTTTAAAAAAATCCTACTACCTGATAGTAAATGAATTTAGGATATTGTTTTCTTGGCGCCGAGTGCTTCAATTTCCGTTGACCCACAACCCTGGAACAGGGTGGGATGATTGCATTTAACTAATAAATTTAAATCTGAGTATAGCCTTTAAAAAGAATATACTGACGAAGTTAATAAATTATTTTAACTTAACTTTTTATTAATTGAACTAAAGTTTCTTCTTTCGTCGAAGAACTGACCTTTCCAGTGGTAAATGATCATTAACACCAGAAGACCCCGATTCCCCCTCCTCTTTTGTCTTCTTCTACCCATCACCCTCTCCCCAACTTCCACTTTCCTTTTGGGTGGTTCACATAATCTCTTTGAGTGTCTAGCCTTTAATCCCTCAAGTGACGTGACGGATTTCACAGAGACAACATCTCGTTCCTGAGAAGAAACTAATGGGTTGCTTGGCAAAACTTTTCGAACGCTCGATTTTAGTATTATAGTACCTTTACTGTACTGCATTTTGGTGAATCTAGCCGACAATTCCCTCTAAATAGTGATGTCAAAGCATACATTAGCGTCGCTTTTTTGTAATAAAGGTGCTTTTGTCTGACAAGATACTGGAAATATCTGAGAGAATAAATTAATGACATATTTCTTCTCTAGCGTCATAGGGAGCCCTACTAGTATTTAGCGACTAAAACTAAACATTTTTCGTCCTATCGTCGTATATTAAGACAGATTTTAGACGTCTTTTTCGAGAAATCCATAAAACGCTTGTGTTGAAAGGTCATTTGTAAATTAGCTCTCCAGTCGATTTTGAGCAAGAATGGTCTTTTGTTAATCTTAGAAAGCTTAAGGAAAGAGAAAGAAAAAAATTAAAGAAATACCCCGAAAGGGCTACTCTAAAATGTAACGAAGAAGGACAATTTTAACTTAAAAGCCCATGTTTCAGAGGTCAGATATCATATACACTGAAATATCTGGGATGATCTTTAAATGATTTGGGAAGCAAAACAAAATCACAGAAAAAGTTAAACTCTCGGCACAAAGAAAGGCACAACTGTAACCTTCCGGAACTTAATGCTCACGTTACTTATCAGCTTTGTCGCTCTTTCCATTAATAAAAATCGACTCCTTACCTTTTGACAGGTTTCGTTTGGTTCAGCTCGCCAGAGCGGATTGCACAGTGAGTTTCCCTTATACGATATGAGTAGAAATGAGCTCGTTCGGCATTAATTTGCGACTGAAGGGGAGTTGAACTCACCATTCCATCACTTTCCGGAAAAGACACACCTTTTGACAACTTTAAGATCATTGATAACAGTCCCAGAATAAGCTCTCAGTAAATTTAAAGTCAATAATCCCGCACTCACTGGAAAGAGCCGACAAAGAAGAACAAAAGAACACACCTAGGTTATTTTACAATGGAACACAGGTTTACAATGGGGTTCGTTTTCCTTAGCTTACTTATTAAAATACGCACTTGCAAATAACTTCTGCTCTTCCGCGGTTTTTAACTATTTTAAAAGTTGTTAGCTATGATAAGTACCGATGCAATTAGAGTGTCTGAAATACTGAGATATCCTGATTACTCAGAAGGGCGTGAAGTTACAAGTCGACGATTAATAACTAAAGATTTCAAGACTTCATTCTTTTTCTGAAAGGTTTCATGTATTTTATTGTAGGGTAAGACGTTGTGTTTTGCATTCTCTTTACGTCTGTTTCGTGATTCACACGTTCTTACAATTGTTGTGAACGATTTTGAATGTTTTTTTTATGTCAAAGGGGTTAAGAAATAAATATTTACTTACGTACACCTTCTGCTCTTTATTACTCAGAAGTAACAGATTTCATTCGTTAAGCAGGCCAGGCATTTCTACCACGCTCCGGCATTCAATTTAATTTTGTACATTGGTTGCCCTTCAAGTCAAAAATCGAGTTGAAGATTTTGATTTTGACTTTTAAAACGTATCATGAAATGGACCTAAATATTTAACACACTTTTAGGAATTGTTAGTGGTTCCTAAGTATAATTTTGAGTCCTACGGAAAGCGTGCTATTTCAGTCATTGCTACCATACTCTTGAACAATTTACTAGACCAGATAAGAACTGCAGCATGCTTAAGTCATTTAAATACAGTCGAACCTCTCGGTACGGACACCTCTAGATTACGGACAGTTTCCAATATCGAGACAAAATCCTCATATATTTTCTTTAAAAAAAAACCTCTATAATACGGACTCTCTCCAATACGGACAACGGACACTAAATCTCGGCCCCAGAGAGTAAATTCATATAAACTTAACCTCTTTATTTTTCCTCGCGAAGCGCCGAGCAGCGAGGTAAATCACACGAGCATTGTAAGGCCAGCGTGATTTTCTCTTGGCTTCTATCGAGTTTGGTTGGTGTCCGCCTTGACGTCATCCAGAGTAGTGACGTCAAAGTGCATTATAGGTTTCCAGGCAACCGATTTCCATCGATGATAAAGCTCCGGGTTTTATTCATAGGGGGTTTTTTCATATGTGAATTATAACAATGTTTACGGTCGGTGAATCACCACCCAATATCTCAGGCAAATAAAAGAGAACAGCAGACTCAACAACAGTGGATTCAACACGTGGCTGGAAATCCTCGCTAGGAAAGAATTAGAAACAAAACTCCGCAAGATCGAGAACTTCGACTTTAAATTCAGGGCGAGCAACGGCGCAGCGAAGGCAAACGCTGTCAACTAAACACATAGGATGTAAAGAAGCAGCAACAAATACTACAATTACACTGCAAACAAAGCCGACGAAGAGAGGGAACAGACTGGGAACACCGACTGCCGATGTTTCAGCAAAATAGCAGCCTTATACATAAACACAGCTGTGTCTTTTAAGTCAAATATAACAAAAATTTATTATTGCTGGCCTCCTGTATTTTTGTTCCTATTATTCGAAAAAAACATTTGTTTTTCTGATATCCTCAGAATATTAGTGTGTGACATGGCTGCCATGCCAGGAACGTTAATTCCTTTCGCTGTTACGGAAAATTTAAGAAGTCAGTCATAAAATTTCGCTCTTTCAAAGAAGTCAGAGAGGTAACATATTCACAGAAATAAAACATTTGTTCCATTGGCAGAAGAAGATTGAGATTGTTTCAAGAAATTAAACCACATGCAATCCATCCTGCACTTAGCTTTACATTCACGATTGCATGTAATACAGGGAAAGTGTTCATTTGACTCGTACATACATACATACATATCCTTCATTTAAACACAATATGGTTTAAAGCTCAAGGCTTGTGAGGTCGTGTAAAAATGATTACAAATGGATAAAACTGCGTAAAAAAGAAGAATAACATCACTTACAAAATACAACTACAATTAAAACTCTAAAAATATACAGTAAGATTCTAACCAAAAAATAAATAAATAAATAAATACAAGGTTAAAATGAATTTACATTAGTTACCTCTAAGTAAATTGACTACAGCATTTAAAATCGAAAAATAGTTAAAAGCATTTAAAATCTTGGTAGTGCCTGGGCAGCGACTGGACCGACTGTGCGCTAAAATCAAGTTCCTTAAAATAAGATGTCCTTCTTCACTTTGCGATAAAAAACAGTAAACTGGTCTGTAAAATGACTCGAGACAGCGTTCCAAAGAATAGCGCCTCTATAGCTAATAGAGTTTTTACGAAACTGCGAGTTAACACTCGGGACGATTATGTTATTACTCCTTCTGAAGTTGTATGCGGTGCAGGGTTTATTTGTCAAGTATGAAAGAGCCGTAGGTGCTTCACCTATAAACACGCTATGGAGTAGTTTAATTAATCGAAGTTTATAATAGAGGGTTAAAGTATTCCAGTTCGAATGTTGCTAAACTTCCTCAGTAGGCGTATCTCGGGGCAAGTTGTATGTAATTCTGGCTGCCCTACGGTGAAGTACTTCCAGAGAATGTAGAAGCTTTGCATTAGGGCAGCCGCCCCAAACGGCTAGTCCATATAGAACTGATGGTAATATTATCTTGAAGTACAAGTCCAATAGGGCGTTTCTGCTCAAGAACGAACTCCTTTTCAGGAGGTTCACTTTAATTTGTTTACGAAATTCTTTTTTACATCTGTAAGGTCTCTCAGTCTGGGAAATTAAAAATCTATGGCTCTGGCACTGTCTCAACAAGCTCATACCCGTTTAGAATGGACACCAATGGAGAAACTGATCACCTTCAACATGACTTGTTTGTGGACATTTCATACAAATTCACTCTTGCAAAGGTATTTGTTTCTTATGCATGTACACGAATAACTCTGAACACTTGCCTAGGGGATAAAAAAATTGGTACTTTTTACATGGATTCAGTGCTTTACGATGAATGCCCGCATATTCAATGATCCGTAAGTCATGATCATTTAATAATTCTCATGAACTGCATCCTTAATGACATTGCTACTTGTAATTTTCTATTTCAGTGATTATGTTTGCACTTTACTGTTACAAACAATAGTTGTCTAGTGTGATTATGTACCAAAAAAGTGCAAATACAGGGGGACAGGGACTCATAAGGAACTGGAATTTTCGCGATTTTTAGATGAAAGGGATAGGCACATCCCTCGGAAAGATGAGAAACACTGGGTTTTGTCAGTCTCGACGGATGCTTCATTGTCACGCTGGGCCGGCGTCATTCATTATCAACGTTATGACGTGGTACATGGGGACTGTGGGCAATCGCAAAAGTCTTGGAATCCTTACCATCAGACATTCGGGATCGTCGAGTAGATGTGCAAGTGGATCACCAGGCGGTGATTCACACTTGGATGGGGCGTAGTACGGTGGACGATCAAGAGAGTTTACCAAAGTTGCTCAGCACATTTTCCAGCTTGTGACACAGAGAAATATCTTGTTGGAACTGTCCTATGTCCCATCCAAGAGTTATCCTTCTGATTCCTTTTCACGTTCTTTGTCGAATTTAGATTCGATGTTATCCAAATACTGTTGGGACATGGTTGAGGCCGAATTTGGATGACTCTCTGGACACAATCTAGGCCTGATGGCGTTGGACTCCAATGCCTAATGTGGTCGACAGGGATCTCCGCTGCCTCATTTCACGCCTTACCCTACACCTGTATCTGCAGAAGTTAACGTCTTTTATCAAGATTTGACGAGCTTGTGGCGGAGGCACTGTTAACCCCTACGATTTTCCTCCCTTTTCTATGATACCTTCGTTGCTTTCCTTGCTGTCTTCTCAGAGAGCGTTGAGAAAAGCCATGTTTGCCCCCTTTACCTTCTTGGTGGCCAGTGGTGAGGGCATTCCTGATTAAGAAGCTCAAAGGGTGTATTGTGACTTGAGAAGGTTTCCCATCGAGCTAATTTAAGTTAGTGCATATTTCGAGTAAAAGAACAAATTAAAGGTGCGATTTATATTGGGTTAGTGAAATAGAAATAAAATTAAAATGTTTTGGTTGAAGTGGGGTTTCAGTAAAACGCGGGGTCGAGGTCGGAGCCGGAGGCGAGGTCGGGTCTATCTTTTTTCAAAAAGAATGCTGTTTTAGGCTTAGGGTAAGGGTTACTAGAGTTGGCACAAGACGTCTGTGAATCGCCGTCGTTAATCGTCTTCCGGTATACAGTTGCATAAATTATTTGAAAAGGTGTTGACAGACCAACACGACTCTGGACTCTTGTACTACATCACGTACGAAGTTATTCTCTCGCATGTTCTCAACCGGTATAGCTTGGCCGCTTAAACAAACAACAAATTGAGAAGAACAAGAATTTTTAATATGGAAAATTCAATTACTAACTACAAATTACAATCATTGATTGACGTCATCGATAACGAAAGTTGAATCCAGTTCCCGCTTACTACTACCTTCATTTCCTGAACTACACAATCACAGTGTTCCATTTTTTGAGGTATGTGCCATTTACCTCCTCATTTTTGCACTTTTTTTTACTAAAAACTGCATTGCTCTGAGCCGGTTAGATTCAAGAACGTTTTCCAGGTATATTATTGACTAGGATATCATGCACTAGTTTACAGGATTTAGATAGATAGACACTTTTACTTTAAAAACCAATTTCAAATATATACATGTAATCACACAGAATAGTCCTACTTCAGAAAGCTTAATATATAACATCCCTGTTATCAATAGAAGCCCTGAGTTCACTAACTAGACTATGCTTATTTTATTACTTAGTTAATTGCTGTTGTCAACCATGTGGCGTCACGAGTGTTGTCAACCGCTGAGATCTTCGCGGGCTCAGAAATCGCGAAATGGACGCACTTTAGAAGCACAATTTTAGCCCCGATCCGAAAAACTTCTTCATGGTTACAGTACGTTCATTTTTAAAAGCACTTTTCCATTATTAAAAAAAATTAAATTCTAAAAGGACATTTGTGGCACTGCAGTAGAAATTTAATTCAATAACCTCCTGGGCCGAGTTGTTCAAAGCGGGGTTAAGATAACCCGGGGTTAGTGCAAGATTTGAATTAAGATTTGAAAGCTTAAAAAGCATTTCAGTTTTAATTCTTTTGTCTACAAGTTGATGATTGGAAGCTCTTAAAATAACAGAGGAAATTATCCGAGAAAATGCTTTTGAACACAAGAAAAAGAAACCAGGGTTAAATTTAACCCCGGGTTAAGCGCTAATCGGCTTTTGAACAACTGGGCCCTGTGTCGTAGCAATATATTTACAGAAGCAGAGAAATTAATGTGCCCAGAAATGTACGTAAATACAAAACTTTGGATAAAAAAATGCATAGCCTGCTGGCGTTTGTATAACTACCACTTTTTCGACATTAGCATTAAATTAAATTCAACACGGCCAAATTCAGTCTTTAAATGGGCCTTAGATAACATGAGGTGAGATGTAAGTTAATAAAACTGAGCCCGTCGGACTTCGAGTCGTTATCATTTGTCTTTCCAATTTTTTATCCGGCCGTGTACAACGGTTAAAAAAACATTCCTATCATTTTGAACTAACTGAGAGATCAATTGAGACGTTTCAATGACTACTTTTCAGTCACAATTTGTTACCAAAAGTAATTTAAAGATAACAGTGAATGTTATCCTCAAAAAAGCATGTAAATGTACGGCCTAAGCAGGTGAGTGACATCCTGAAAAAAAAATCGAGCTTGACTTCGGGGAATGGAGGACTTGTCCACCAGCATTTACTTTCATCATTTCATCCGCAGTTCATGAAAAAAAAATTATATATGATTTTAATCATGTGTTTTTAGTTAGCAAAAGCTGCGCGGCCAGCAAGCTCCCAACATAGACTGTTGTACCGTTGTTTCGATCTGAGATTTTGCCCGCTATAATAGTCTCCTCCACTATGTTTTAAGACAAAAATGCTGCGGAGTTATCGTAGTTGCTTTTCCAGACAATTCGGCTGAAAAGGCTTTTAACGAAAAGCAAAAGTGAAATTGAGTATTTTCATCAACTACATTTTAGATACATCGACAGGCTTATACTTGTTTGTAAATGTTTTTCATTTTCTTTTTAGAATTCGTTTGTTTTTCTTTATTTTACTTTTGTTTGCCGGCCATACTTTGTCATCTGGCCTTAAACATGAACGTTTTTCATAGCGGCGTTCTCTAACTTGGAAAAAATTCTAAAAATGCTAAATAATACAATTTGTAGGTTAAAATGTTAAACTAATAAGACTTTGAACTACTAGTATGCTAAAAACATAAATTTCGAAATGTATACTAAAACGTATACAGGCATAACACCTAAATAATAGGATACTTACTTTCAGATACCAAAATACTACAAAATTCCTCCTAATATGTCGAACGTACACCGTTTTCCAATTGATTCTTGAATCGATCGTTACTGACACCCAAGGAATTCTACGATTTACAAACGCATAAGTACAGTTGCTCTTGAGCTAAGTTAGCTTGACTACTTTTGCTCCGCCAGTTTACCATCATGGAGCTTAGTCTTCCAAAAGCCATTTTATGCCCTCTGGTAGATTTTCTTCATTGAAACGGTCAAATACATTTCAGCATTTGATTTTTCTTTATATATATTTTTCTGTCCGTGTTCTTGCCATGGGGATAAGTTTACCGTTTTTCTTCATAGTATTTAAGATTTTTACTGATCTAGGTAGATCCTGCTGCTCTTTCTGGTTTGTTGCTGTGGTTTTGCCTTTAAAAGTATTTTGGATTTTCTTCGCAAATCACTTGAGAAATTATTTTATTTCCTTTTAAAGTTCGCTTTGTTTTGTTTGTTCCTTTGTTCGCTTGAATGTGTTTTCGTGCTGTTTTCCTTTCATGTTAGTAGCTATGTTGTTAGATCTCTTTTGTAATTGTTTTGAGAACTCGTTCAATAAAACATCCATATTATCTCTGACGTACAAGAGCAGATTGCTTCAACTGCGCATCTACGTACCAGACCCCTCTCAATTCCATCCGCGAGTAAAATGCTGTCTACGCAAGATTATGCCTCTCATCAGTTGTGTACAATATTGTGAGAATCACGATATAGTTTGGCGATTTCGCTTTTACGCTATTTCGTGTAGCCTATGCAAAGCCGCCTCCTTCCCTCAGACAAAATCGTTTCAGTTCGAGGGGAGCCGGACCGCTGTACACAGGCTATGTTTTGGCCAACCCTCATAAATTATAGAGACGAAACTTATTTACCAACACCTATTGCAGCCACTCTCGATCGATAATTGGTGTTTAAAAGAATTGTATGCGAGGTAAAGCATAGTTAATAGAGTGGAATGGTTATGAAGCCCATCAGACCCCTTTGCTATATGTTTTTTTTGTTGTTATATGTAGACCTGACGGTGCACAAGGTTCAATGGCGTTTTCCTAACATTTTGATCTTATTGAGCAATGACAACATCCCATTAGTGTATTCCGTCACAATTTATCAACAGAAAACAAAGGATTGTGCACCGTCAGGGAGCTTTCAACATAAACTGCAGCACATTTTCTGTTATCTTTGATAATAACCGCCTTTCATAACCAGTCTCTTCTAATAACTACGGGCAAAGCGATGATTGATTTTGCACAAGGACCTAAGAGGTAAGAAACCTGTTAGGAGCAACCGTAAATAGGAAACTTAAGCAACCATGACGACGACGTCAATAAAAACGTTGCTAAAAAAATAAATTTGCGTACTTTCTATAAATGTGGTCGTTTTGTGGAGTTGAATTCGCCTTCGTGTGTTCAGGTCCTCCATAAAACGTAGCAAAAGGACGTTTCACGTCGTAGTGGACCTCAAGGAATGTACTATTCTCACTGCATACATAATTGGCCTGTGACGCGGGAAATAAGAAACACCTTCAAATTCAGTCGAGTTGGGCCTGCGCGCTATTGGCATGATGCAATGCGGCCCTTGCTTAGAATTGCTCAGTTTTTGCCGGCCTCTTGGCCAGTTCAACGGAGTTCAGTGGAAGTGACTTCAAAATGTTGCCCCATCCACTTCCCCTGGTGGCAGTTGATGCCTTTCTTCGGCATGCCTGTTGTCGTGGTAGTCGCGGTTTCCTTCCTGCCTGAGTATGCAGTGCGAATCTTACACTAAAAAGAGTGATGCACGTGCAGAGCTGTTGTTTTACTCATAAAACCAATTGTTCTTTTTTTTTTAAATCAGCACCCTACAAATCAGATGTGTCTACTATTATTTTTAAGAACATTGTATCATCTCGCACATACGCGTGATTATTTAGTTCGGTCAAAGGGCAAAACATAGGGCAACCACTTGCAATATTTGTTTCCCTCCTTGGTCTCTGAAAAGAAGAGCTACTTGGATCAGGCCTGAATGCATCGATCACGTGCTCTACGTTATCCTGGTCCATTAACATAAAAGTGACCTTCTGTCTGAATGGCCAGCGGAGTAGGGCGTCATATTGACCGCGCATGACCACAAAGAACACTGAAATATGTGTTCCTCGGCCCATGCCATCACCGTTTAAATAGATCCGCGCGCACATCTTGTATCCATAGCGACCAGTGAAGAAGCACGGGCTGTAAAAGGATATTTGTTGTCCACTAACGGCTTCGTTTCGTCTACGGGCAAATTCAGTTATCTTCCAGAGCAACTGGCCATCATAACTCGAAAACTCTTGTTGCCTCACATACTCCTCTAAGTCAGCAAGGGTCACATTTCGTAAAGCAAGTGTATGCTCAATGGATTCAATCCGTCTTTCAATTCTCCTCGTACTCTCTTGGACGCCTTCTGTTTGTCTTTTAACCATTCCAACTTCTCTACTTGTCTCCACTATAGTACGATTACTTTCAACTAAAAGCACTTCGTGGTCAGCCGTTTTGTTCTCGAGATTGGTGATTCTTCTTGTTATATCCATATTTGGTGAATTAACGTCAGCATCAGATGCTCTAGGAGCAGATGCTGCTGCTGCTGCTCCGGATAAATTTACCGTGGCCACTTTTCTCTCCAATGAGGTTATTCGTTCACTGTGCTCTCGTAATTTTTCTTGAAAATTCCTAGATGTTTCTGAGTTGTTTTGCATCCTATTGAGAAGATCTTGTATGACACTATCATAGTTTGTAAACATCTGAGGGCTTCTTGACATGACCATGGGATCACGTCTAACAATGGCATCTAAGTCTTTGCTGATACCAAGGGCAAACTGAAGAACAAGAATGTTGTGGCGAACTATTTCTTGTGTCAAATGTTCCCTCTTCTCCCTTTGGTTGAGTATCTGATAAAATTTAAAACGGGTTTGTTGTAAACAATAACCAAGGACGTCAAAGAATGTCGTTTTACCTATGTACCAATAACATGAAAGCTCAACGTGCACTTTAAAACTCTAATTCACTGAATAACTAATAACTTTATATATTAGATATAATTAATGCACTATTTTAATGCCACAAACAACAACAACAATAACGGCTACAATACTCAACCACTAACCTCTGTCTTGGAACATCCAATCTGTGAGAATGGACACGGACCCTGTACTTCCTCACAGTCTCCCACGATGGGATTTTGATGATCTGCCAACTAAAATGTGGGAAGCTCTCTATGAATAATTTCTATATATTGAAATCCCAGCCTCACATCCTCTGGGACATGGGACAAACTTAAAAGTGGCTAATTAGGTGTCATTTGACTCACGTACATTTGACGTTACAGCCGCAACAGGCCTGAATTTTCTAGGGCGTTTACATAAGACCGTTCCCCGACAGGTGCAGTGAAATTAGCGTTGTTATTAATAAACTTGTTAATGTTTATTGCCCCGCTATTTGTCTCGGGAATCGTGCCCCGGGGCTACAATTTAATGGTTCAATGTAATCCTGAACAAACACCTGGCTCGCCGTGTGTGTGTGTGTGTGTGTGGTGTGTGTGGTGGGGGTGGGGGGTCCTTTTTCTAGTCAAGAAAAGCTCCCCCTGGGTGTTTAAAGATTTAAAAACAATCTTACCTTTCCCCGAGGAATCCCCACTTTGTTGCATTTGTCACAAACAACTGGATAAGCTGGACATTCGTTCTCTTGATGTTGCTACGACAAAAACAGCGCATAGTTAATACCATCTGGAAAAGGGAGCGCACTTCTTTTCAAACCTATTTGCCCTGTCTTTTTAGGCAAGACGTTTAAGGCTGACATGCTCCTGTCACTTCATTTAGCCTCAAAACCTATATGGTGAGAATATTGTCATTTTTTTAGAGACTGTAATGAAGACTAATATATATTGGTTAAGCCAAAGCTAAGAGCAAAGTTCTCGTGGAAACGTTTAAGAAATTTCTCTCTGAAATAAGTTTTTTGTGCCTGTGATCACTGAAATACCAATAACTAGTCAGCGGGGAATTTAAAAACCACTTCATCCCAATGAATTGTACACCTGAGTCCGCGATACAGTCATGTGATACTGGTCAGCGGATACCCTATTTTGACAGCTGTCAGTTGATCATAACATGGATCTCCAATATCAAGTTAAACACAACTTGTTTATGCCTTAGTCTTCTAAGCTAATAAGCTAACATGAATGGGCGGACGTACGTACCGTCATCCTGATGAAGACTATGCTCGCATGACAAAGCGGACACTTCACTAGTCTGTACAAGCATTCATTTTCCAAATGCTCAGGAAGATCAGCTTTTTTTACCAAGACACCACACTCAGGATGTACACAGGGGAGTTTCAGGAATTCGCAGCCGTTTGTATGAGCCTGTTAGAAAATTATTTATACTTTTAACAATGCCGAATTTAATTGTTAATCTTATATTTAAGACCGGTACGGTCATTGGATTCCAAATTTGACAAACTAAGAAAAATTACATCGATAAATTTTGACCATGCAGCTATGGATTAGCAGTTGCAAAAAATATAATACTCGTACATCTTAAATTTATTTTTGTGGTCTTGTAGACTTGTGGAGAACCACATACCTCCAAATTTCTGACCTCCCCTTTCCACTTGCATCCATCCTCCATGAATGTGCAGAAAACAACGAGAGCGAAAACCTCACGACGCATAAAATTGTCCGGAAAGACCTGAGTTATAAAAATATTGAGCGCTTATATATTTGAGTACCTTTAATGTTGTTTAAATCGTGCTACTGCAAAGTTACCCATGGGTTTCCGCGGGAATTTTATTGTCTCAATGCTAATTTATAACTTGATGAAGTTGAAAAAAGAAAACAAAGAAACAACAACCACAAATTAAATAATAAAACAACAAAAATCACGATATGGTCACGGTTAAAGTTGATCAACTGTCAACACTCTGAAGGTACACTAAAAGAAAAGACGTACCTCATTTTTCTGAAGATGTTTCTGGTCCACGAGGCAAACCATTACTCCTGATAATTGATCCCTAAAGGTAACAGTATATTTGTTACAGATTTTATTGGGCCGATGTTCAGGTGATTTACAAGATGACGGTGTTTAACTTTGTTCATTACAATGATCGTTAAATTAATAAAACATAAAATTAATCTTCCACCAGTTTTAATAACGTTTGTATAGGTAATAGCATGATTTGTAGTGATATTTGGCATAAATACCACGAGTGATATTTCGAAATTGTTATATGTAATTTCACGAGCCGTTAGGCGAGTGAAATTTGAGACAATTTTGAAATATCCCGAGTGGTATTTATGCCAAATATCACTACAAATCATGCTATTATTTGTTTATACCACTACCCGCAAAAGGTTTGTAATTTTCACATGTAGGTATTTCAAATTAAGCTAAAATACCACTGCTCTAAGCCAATCAAATTGCATAAATTTCTCATGTAGTGGTATAAACTCTGAAATATTTGATATTGACTCGGAAGGTAAAGGTCCGCTCTCATAAGGCCAGCTAATGTTATTACATAGTACTGCTCATTAATAGAAGCACCGAAAAGGTCCATATAGATGTTCCTGTTAGTGTCAATATTTTCACACACTACTGGTAATTCAACAGGGATTTGTTCGATGAACATGAGATCGTTATGATCAGTAATCTTGAATCAATACTATGAATGATATCCATGTTTTAGTCAATTTTTTTATCTCAGGTAATTTTTATTTTTCTGTTGTTTCAGCTTCATTAGCATACATTACCATACCCAAAAACAAAAGAAAAACAAAAAATTACCTGGGATAAAAAATAAACTACAACATCCACATCCCCTGTATAACTGCTAAGCAACCTCACATTTCTCATTCTAGCACGGGGTAACTGGGACATTATATACATATAGCTGAGAATAGCAATGTGGTACAATATAGTCAACTAGTATAGGCTGTACAAAGATATCCAAGAAACGTTTATGCATATTTTGTTTTTTAGTCATATAATTTGATTTACTCGGTTGTTTTGTTCTGTTATTCAATTTTCCCCCTCTCTCGCAACCCTAGACCCTATTAGATCACTTTCTAAGATCGAAGTTGAAGCTGGTCTCCTCAGTAGATTGTCCTGTTCCACGCTTAGCAATTTCTCATATCAAGGACTCCCACTGCTAGCTTCTTCCTCGTAAACACGATTCTATGGTTTATATATGAAGTGCAGATTAAATAATAGGCCTTTTACATTAGTTAATCACGTGATCAACTTTCGATAAACAAAAAATTAAAACATTTAGCTTTTGAAAATGTTGGTTTGCACGAGCTAAAAGAGCATATTAAAACTAGGTGACCTGTAAATTTTCAGCCACATATCTCAAAAGTAGCGATTGCAACGGCCGCCGAAATTTAGAGGGATTTGTATGGGAAAAAACCACTCTTGCCACCCAGTCACCCTTGAGTGGTTTTCCATACACATCCTTGTAAATTCTGAAATTTTTATACTGCCGTTTAATGTTTCCCTTACGCATTTGAGACTCAAATTGCCTGTTATGAATTAAAAGGAGATTTTAGCACGCGGTAATGCTTAAGGAAATATTTCACGACAGTTTGAAAATTTCGAAATTTACAAGGATTTGTATGGAAAACCATTCAAGCGTGACTGGGTGGCAAAAGTTGTTTTTCTCATACAAACCCTTCTAATTTTCGGCGGCCGTTGAAATCGCTTCTTTTGAGATACACGGCTGAAAATTTACTGGTTACCTATATGCTCTTTCAGCTCATGCTAACAGAATTTTTTAAAAGCGAATCGTTTTCGTGTTTACCGAAAGTTGACCACGTGATGAACTAATACAAAAGGCCTATTGCAACGAAGTTAATTATCCAGAACGAAAAATACAATCGTACATACCATCCCATATTATAGCTTGACACTATACATATTTTTACAGTAACTATTAATTTTTTCGAAGTGATATAATTATAAACTTACTGTATGAGATTTCCCAGACAAGATTGACAATAGAAATGACCACAGCTTGTTTGCATGGCCTCTCTCAGTAAAAGTTGACAGTATGAACAAAAGTACTTCGCATCAATCTTCGCATTGTCAGGATTTGCCAAATGATACCCTGGCATAGTGGTGAGACAATGGAGTACCCTTACCAAAAGATCATAAAACTTTGCGTGGCGAAATAACTCCAATGCAAGTCTTCTCCTCTGGCTCTACAGGCCGTCTGGATTCACTCTTGGTACGTTAACTACAAAGGCATAAGCAAATTGTAGTTTATCTCGGAAATGATCATGATTTTTTAAGGAAGAAATATGGAAACGACGCACGCCCTGCTTCTGGTGGTGACAAGGACCAATGGTTATGTTTGTGTGGTTTTCTTTGTTGTTCTTCTTTTTCTTTAAATCATACAGTTAAATACTTTTAAACACAGATAGAGTATTAGCACAGGGGCGGATCCAGGATTTTTTTTAGGAGGGGGTGCACTCGTCTCTTGCTCTACTTCAACACCAATAAAGTACATAGTTTTTTTTGTGTGCAGAATACCAGTTGTATTAGAAAACCGCGGGTCATCTCAGGGGGGTGGGGGGGGGGGGTGCGAACCCCCTGCACCCTCCCCCTAGATCCGCCCCTGTAGCAGTTTCTTACTGACTGAATTCTAAACATACAGTTTAACCTCCATTAACGGCCACCTCTCTACAATGGCCATACGTTTTGTCCGGCGGACAGTCCATTGATTGAGTTTTCTTTAAGGTAGCTCGATGCAATATTTTTATAGTGACACCATCCATCTTTGAATCTCTTATACTTAAACAAATTTATCTTTNAAAATAAAAAAAAAAAAATTAAAAAGAAGTGTGGGTTTGTTGGGGGGGGTGGTGTTTGTTTTTTTTGGGGGGGGGGGTCTCTCTCTCCTTCTTCCACTACTAAAATTTTATTGTTTTTTTTGTTTTTTGGGTGAGGAAATTTATGTTGTGGGGAGGGGCGGGGGGGGGGGGGGGGGGGGGGGGGGGGGGGGGGTGCGAACCCCCTGCACCCTCCCCCTAGATCCGCCCCTGTAGCAGTTTCTTACTGACTGAATTCTAAACATACAGTTTAACCTCCATTAACGGCCACCTCTCTACAATGGCCATACGTTTTGTCCGGCGGACAGTCCATTGATTGAGTTTTCTTTAAGGTAGCTCGATGCAATATTTTTATAGTGACACCATCCATCTTTGAATCTCTTATACTTAAACAAATTTATCTTTATGGAAAAACCATTATAACGCATTTATTACACATAGACTAACCTCAGGACTAAACTTCAATATGATGTTATTTTCTGGGCGATCGGAATAAATATCACGTGGTTATGACGTCACAATAGTGTTGGTTTTATATCGAATTCTAGCCCTTATCGACCTGATTCAGTAGTAGTATACTATGTTGGAAATTAACCCCCTTTGGTGTCTAGCAAGGTCTAGCTAGGTCTAGTCTATGACGTCACCGATTGTTATAACCTGGGGAAAGAGTGGATTCCCTTTATTAATATGTATAAGTGTCTTCCTGCATACTAATTTGGATTTCCTCCAATTTTTTTTATTCCCTCCATCACAATTTTAATATTTTCCCTCAATTTCATTATTTTCCCTCCTCAATGATATTATTCTCTCAACCATAAAAATGAGGAGGTGGAGGAGGAGGAGGAGGAGGAGGAGGGAAAATAATAAAATTGTGGAGGAGGGAAAACAATGAAATTGAGGGAAAATATTAAAATTGTGGTGGAGGGAATAAAAAAAAATTTGAGGGAACATATTAAAATTGTGGAGGAGGGAATTCAAGAATGGGGAGCTTGCTTTCTCTGACTATTTTAATAGATTTCTTTCAAATCGCTGTGTATTTGACTCTTTTTGTTTTAAACGGTATCTCGTGTCTGATTTTATTGCTAGCAATTATATGTCGCGTGTTTAATCAATTGATCAATGTTAAGTTATTTGTTTTATAATAATACGTCAAGATGCTCCCTTGAGGTTTTTCCTGTAGAGCTAATTTGTATTCATCTTTGGGCTTGTGAACTCGCATAATTACCTAACTAACGGCGCGTGAAACGTTGAGACTTTAGTTGAGACAATAGTTTTTCATTTCCTCGAGATAAAAAGGAGAAAACAGTTCTGTAATAGTCAGACAAAATTGAAATAGAGAGTTTTCAGCCCCACTTTGTGTACATGTGCGGGCGTTTTGTTTATATATCCGAGTTTTAGCGCTAAATAAGATATGGGAAGCCGTTTCTCGCGTTGCTAGGTGATCGCTCCTCTTATTCCTATAGACGGTCCGAAAACCGGGCTCAAGTTACTTATTGGGCAAGTCTAGGCAAGCCTATTGTTCCTATTGTAGTAGAGTGACGCTCATTGACGCTCATTACATCCTCGGAGACCCAGGGGCAGATAAAGGGGGCGAGGGAAAGTCTAAACGGGCGAAAAAATATATATGGAACGAAGAAAAGTAAAGAACGGCGAGAAGAGCCCCTGGGGACAATGTCTTACTCGACCAGTTCCAAACGGTCGCCGCTGCTCTGGCTCTTCTCGCCGTTCTTTACTTTTCTTCGTGACATATTTTTCCGCCCGTTTTGACTTTCCCTCGTCCCCACGATCTGCCCCTGGGTCTCCGAGGATGCTCATTAGTAAACCTATCCACTTCATTATATATGGAGGAAGGCACTTAATTAGTATGCAGGAAATCCAAATTAGTGTACAGGAAGACACTTATACATATTAATAAAGGGAATCCACTTTTTCCCCAGGTTATAACAATCGGTGACGTCATAGACTAGACCTAGCTAGACCTTGCTAGACACTGAAGGGGGTTAATCTCCGACCTAGTATATTACTTTCAGTCCCCTTACATACGATCCTACTCTTATCCGGGAAGGGAAACTATAGCGCTATCTCAGGGAACTTAGGGAAAAAAGGTCAATTATATTTGATCCGAACTATGGAAATCACTCACGCTGCACATACTTTGGGTACTTTTTTTCCGCTTTGCCGGAAGTTAAACAAAAATCTACGACAGGAATTTCAAGATATATTGGACTTTCTACCGTCATGTAATTATGCATGAACTGAAACATTTTAAGTTGCTTAACGTAGGCGGAAATTGGGTAAATATCGAAGCGTCATGTGATAGATTTGGATAATTTTTTGCTTTGGATTTCCTATAGTCTCGATTTTAGAACAACATCAAATTCCCATGCAGCACGTGAAAAGTTGCCCTCCGTAATTTACTTACAATATTGTTTTCTCCGTTTCTACAGCATTACCATATTATCCAAATCTACCCCATCACTTCAATATTTACTGAATTTTGCGCCTACGTTAGAAAACTTAAAATGTTTCAATGGACACGAAATAGGGCAGTTTTTAGTACACTGATCAACTGCAGCACTCAAATTTTTTAAACGCCGTTTTCGTGAAAGTAGCCCTAGAAATTGCAAAGAGAGCTCAGCACAGAGATTCACATGTTTTCATGTCTTTAGAAATCGTGCAAGTCTACTTGCGTTCAGCTGACTGAGTGTATAAGGGTAATTTGCAAAAACAGATGAGTGATAAAAACTTTCCGGAAACATTCCAAAATAGAAATTTCTCTCATAGATTTCTTCAGAAGCTTCGCAAAACGGAAGAAAAAACCTATCTACAATGGCAACGGCCACTAAAGCGTGTTCCCAACTGCCAAAATGACCTCCCTACAACGGCCAGATTTTTCCTCGACTGATGAAAAAGCCAAGAATGTTCATAAAATTTGATGCAAAAGGCGCTTCCCCAAGGAGGGCGTTGAGGAGAAGTTCGACTGTATTGCCCTTGAAAAATGCATTACCAAGATTGCTATAGTCAATACAGTACTGTGCAGAAGAAATGAGAGCGATCTTCGGTACTGTACTAAAACCATTTGTAATTACATCATATACCTTCCAAGAGGCAATTTTATTGATAACATTTATAATGTTGGTTTGGTTGCTTGTCGTCGCTGTTGGATGTAGGCTAAGATAACAGTAAGAGGAAAAATGTGGTTTTGTTATTTGCTTAATTTCTTCCTTTACATAAAAAAATGTATATATTTATGTCATGAGTTGAGTTGAAACGACTACCTGAATTCAGCACGTAACGACTGGAACGTTGCGAATGAGAACAATTTACATAAGGAAAGGAATTACTTCAACAAAAATGTCAATACCTTTAGGGTTTCGCTTCTTAGCTCACATCTATTTATCTGTTAGTGATGTCCCGGAGCTACTCGCAATTCAAATTTATCGGTGAGACCTGTAGCAACAGACAACGTAAATGCGTAAGCAAGATGGAAAAGATAATTTGGGAGGGGGGGAGCAGGGGGAGAGGGTGTTTTTATTTGTGTCCTGTAAAGTAAGGGATATAGCCGCGAAAACTGAACCGAGGTCAAACGGGAAAACGATGGGGGAGAGGGCGAGTGAAAGAAGAGTCGCTGCCTTTTTTTTCTCTCGCCCCATCCCCCACCATAAGATCGTTTGAACTCAGTCAGTTTACCTTACGGAACACGAAATACAAACCAAAGAAACCAGCCGCTTCTACCGTAAATAACGAAGCTATGAAGACTGCGTGCACAGTGCCTTGTGAATTGCTATGTTTGAAAATTTTGCAAAGATCGATCTATTTTTAAACCTTCGCGTGATTTGATCCTTCAATCAAATCGTACTTTTTAATGGCTTCCTCTCTGATTTTGTTGAGATCACTTCGTGTGTATATGCTCAAACAATTATTCTTTTCAATCTCGGTGAATAATGGCTTTAGGAACATCTACCTGGCCGCCTCGCTTTCAAAGAATAATTGTTAAATGCTGTCATCGTAAAGGATAACACAGGTGCCTGTTAGCTATCACTGCACTGATTACTCAGAATATGCTCAGTATCCTTACCGCACTAGGGAGCTCTTGGTTGTCTTTAAATGATTCAGAATTATATCGGTGCTTTCGTCCCTTTTGCTAATTTGATATTTCCACGCTAGTAACAACAACAACCAAAATAGATAGAGGACTTAAATCAAAAGACTGATATTCTACCTTCTAGTTTGTTGCGAAACTTTAAGAAACTAAAAACCCGCGACTAATACTTTCTACCACA